AAAACAGGGGCTTCCAGTAAGAAATCGAATTACCTGGTACCTTAAAGGAAAAACTTGTTTCTGGAGAACTGATTTCCCCACCATTTCCAATAATTGAGCGCGGTGGAGCGATAGAGTATAATATGGCCAAAATCTCGGTGCACCAGTGCAGAAAAAAATGAATTAGTATAGAGTCGAAAATTTAGTATAGAAAGTAGAAGCCGAACTGTACTTGGGATTGACGCGATCTTGTTACGTATGGTTGATATATGTTGTCTATTAAGACCAGGAAAATAGTCAGTGAAGCTTTGTTGTTGTCTTAACATAAGTTATGAACTAGGAGGATTTAAGTATGGGCAAGGCTCAGAGTCTGCCATTAAAGCAGTTATATATGTAATAAGCTTTTGGTTGCAATAATTAGGTTCACACGTGTTGGGCTATAAGGGAAGGTCTTGGTTGTGCCTCTGAAATCTTTCATCTAAACACTAATTCTATGTGTATCAGACTCAGGGACGGATGACATGTTCTTTTTTAAAAAAAGCCGTACCATTTGCTTATATTCGAATTCGAACTTCAGGCTTATGGCTGAGGTGGAGCCTCAGTTCTATTTTTTAATTTAAATTTTCAAGACACATCTGTTGGAAAACGTATGCTATGTGAGGGCAACAATACTTTGATAGAGCGGAGACCCGTTTGATTGCCAATCTAGAACGTCAGCCATTCAAGTGGCTAGCGCAGCACAACAGCCCGACCACGCTATACCGATAAAGTAATATGGGTCTCAAAAAAAGGACGCGCAGAATTCTGACAACCGAAGACAAAAAGCACCGGTTACGCAGTCCGTTTTAGGCAGTGCGTGTCAACTTGAGGGGAGCTTTCGACTCAGCATTCACGGACAAAGTTATGCTCACGCCGGTTGAAATGGATTTCTCTAAAAAGGTGCTCATTCTTCTCGCTGCGATTCCCCAAATAAAGAGAATAACTATCGACAACGGAGTAATCGAATTCCTCTTCTTTGCATAACAACTGGCCTGGCTTAGAGAGAGAGAACTTAAGCTCACTTTTATTCTCGATTTCGCTAAAGGACCTACCTGATTAAACAAATGTACCAAGAAAATTTTAGAGACCAGACGCTTTAGTGATATACCGGCGGAACATATTCCAAGCGCAGCAAGCTCTAGCTCGGCTGCAAGCGACAGTCAGTGATTACCAAGATGTAAACGATGAAGTTTAGCAAAGGCAGTAGGACAGCGGCCAGCGACACTTTATCCCTTTTCAGATAGCCACTTGCTTATATAAACCGATTTCCATATTTTTCTAAACCGCAAGAATTCCACTGCGCACATTACCGAAAGATGCAGGAACGCAGTGTTGGCGCAACGGGGGGTATCAGACCATTGTACGCTTGTTCCTCGTAACTGCTCTTCGCTTGTTTGCTCTTAAAGTAGCTCCGATTGCAATATTCGGAATACGCGTCACAAGATTTTATACCGGAAAACCTCGCACAAATAAATTGCGTCGAAGTCTTGTCTTTCAGAAAAACACTGGGGCTACACATAGTGACCCGAAATCACTTCGCGTATTTTTTAGCAAACTCGTCACTGCTGTTAGAGTATTTAGGTTGTCGCTTTGAACTCCCAGCAAGGGAAACCTTCAAGCCCAATTTTCCTGTTCAGTTAAACTTCCTGAACTGGGAACAAACGTTCATGGGTATTGATGAATATCTTTCGTTTCGAGTACGATGAGGAATAACGAACGGAATAAGAAGGAACGGAATAATACGAACCGACTAAATAGACGTGTCGTCATCTTCTTTGCCATGCATGGGTTCCATCATAAACTTTGCAGGAAACCAGGTTTCCACACGCTTGACGATACATGTAAGTGTTCCACATGCGAGGCCAATTGTGATAGATACCATGCTGTTTGTTGCCTCCTGGTACCATTTTTAGAATATCTGCGAAATCATTATACTACTAATTACTAAAAAATAGTTTTATACACTCAACAAGACTCATATGATCTTTATGACCAAAAACGTTTGGAATGGCTCTGTATACTATGCCTGATATTGGGATATTATATTAGTGACCAATATTTATTAACCTTTTAAAGGTGAGCAGATAAAATTTGATTTATTAACTTTTAAGTAAACGTATGTGTCTCATGTTTAGTCGGCTAGGAAGGCCTAAACTACACTCGGAACTATCCTCTTCTCGATATATATATATATATATATCCACTAGATATTTTTGTACGTTGCGTGATTAATTTCTACTTGAAGGGTTTCGCCACCGCGGTTCGCTTCGCGTGAACACATTAGATTGTAGACAAATTGCAAACACGACGTACTGTTTTTCGCCATGATGAGTTTGCGGTTTTGTTTTGGAAAGATCTGGCTTTTTCGAGGTACCTAGAGTACTGAATGAACACATTCTCGCTATGAGAAAGGATTTGCCAAAATGTATTCACATTTAAATGCTTTGCCTTTTATATATTAGGTTGCCAAACAAGTATTGACTCTTTCAAGCTAAAATTGAAGCAAATATTTTTATATTATAAGATAACACTACCAAACTAAGCATTCGCCGTTCTGTCAATTTTCTGGTTATCCACCATTGTAAAGCATCTGTGATTTCCGTACGAAAATTCGTAACAATTGGATTTTGTATCCCTTCATTGAACCTAAATTAACACTAATAAGGAAGTTTTGCAGAGACCAAATAAAAGTTTGATGGTGCAAGATCCACGCTTTTGGAAAGTTTTTCATCCAAGCCCTCGTGATTGTTGCTACATAGCGAAATATGTATGTGGCCTGGCATTGTCATGGTAGAAGATAACATTTTTTCTTTTTACTAGTTCCGGTTGATTTTTTCGATGCTTTTTTGTAATCTTGTCAGTTATTGACAGTAAAGCTCCATATCAATCAGTCACTTACCAGGCAGCAGCAGCTCATAATGCACAATTCATTTTTAATTCCCTAAATACATAACACCCCCTCCTTTCGCGTCAGTCTAAATTTTGCCGCGAATTATCGAGTACGTTGTTTTAATCTTCTGCACAATATTTTTGTATACTATCTACTTTTTATCATATGTGACCAGCCGCTTTAGAATTGGCTCTATTTGGTTGGGTGTCTTTAGAGCTTCGCAGATGGAAATGTGATGTAGTAGTTCTTTTGTGTCAATTAGTAGGGCATTAAAACAAGTTGTAGAGTTCTTCAAAATAGTTTAAAACTGTATAATGGTAGGTGTTTAGTCTCTTATGGTGTCGTGGCTACTCATGTGTCGATCTTGCTCAACTTTCACAATAACTTTAACAATTTTTTTATAATCAATTGACTATTACGAAGAGCATCTTTGACATAGAAATTTCTAGAAAAAAATTAATACAAGTAATTTTGGGCGTTTTTTCGATAACTCATATTGTTATAAACAACACAAACCTGTTTATGGGCTAATGTCGCATTGGTGCCTTTATTGTAAGAAGATTGTAACGTAGCGATTTATTTTGCCGAAATTTCATTCATCTTCAAGGCGCTCTATCTGAAGCCTGAATAAAAGCACTCCAACGACTTTAGCACGGATTTTAGATTTCAAATTACACTAACGACAACCTAACGTGACTTACACTACCTGAAATACATGGCCTGGAAGTCATCTACCGTCAATACTTAGGTCAATGTAAAAATTAATAAGTTCAAAAATTAATAAGACGTTTAAGTTTCAAGTTTTTCAGCAAGATTGAATACATCGCTGTACTAAACACTCTACAATTTTTCCAAAATGAACAACGAGCGCTCATTAGGTGACAAATAAAATGAACCATTCCGTAAAAATACTACGAAATTCTTATGGTAACGAAACAGAGTAAATTTTAAGCACTTTCAGGAGACAGACAGAGGTCCATCGTGGACGATGCTTGCCCTGAGAAGCCTGATACAGCGATCATGGTCGAAAACGTGAGGCGGAATGAACAATTCACGCTTCCCAACCGTAGAACCGTCATAAGAAGCAGCAAAAGGGAAAGATCTCAACTGGCTCACGACAGGTCATTTTTGAGAGACAGTTTGGGCGTCAGAAGGTTTGCGGTAAAGGTGGTGCCAAAGTAGCTGTGTTCGGCAGACGAATACTTATGAAGATGCGTATTAGGAAAACTCTTTTAAAAGCTTCCAATTTGCTTGAATACATCATTACGGGTTATCAGATGTAAGTTTACATCTACAACGAGTAGACCAAGAAGCTACGTTCCCAGTATGGATTCAAAAATGATCCCTGACCGAAAAAATCGCTTGACAGTTCGTAATCGTTTTCTTTGATCGTCGGAAAATTGTTCACCATAAATTTATGCCGCTTAGCTTTACGATCTCCAAAAAAGATTATTAAGAAGTTTTACAAAGATGCGAACCTTTGTAGAGACCAAAACTGTGACGTAATAAGTTCTGGATTCTCTATCATGACAATTCACTGGCCCACACTTCATTAACAGTGCAGCAGTTTTTGCACAAAAAACTCAATGCGTATGTTGTTGCAGCCCCGATAGTCACTGGACTTAATCTCCTGCGACTATTCCCAAAACTAAAGAAAATATTAGAGGAAACATTTTAACGCGACAGAAGAAATCACTGAAAACAAGAAAACTGAGAACTGTCCGGACTATCTAATTTAAATGGTATAAATAAATATTCATCAATCTGGAACAAAACGACTCGCTCATTTTTTGAATAAATGATTATATATATATGTGCTCAAATACGCCACCCATAATTTTTGAGATTATTGCGCTGCTTTAGGTAGACAACAACGACTCGAAATTTCACACAACTACACGAGCCATCATGTAATATAAGTATTTTCCTAAAGGTGTTTTGTACTAATTTAGGTGATCTTTATCTTCAAAAATCTTATTGTATTTGTTACGCTCTAATTTATTTTACGACAAGCAACTTTACACATGATTTATGATTGTTCTTTTAACGAAGCTCAAGAGCAGAGTTTGAGATACGCAATTATTTTACCTACCACTAAGAACTCGTTCTTGTCCACTCTTTGGTTGCCATCCGTGTCAAACATGTTGAACGCTATCCTGAATCCAGAGTGCGGTTCTGAAACACCGATAGCCAATGACAACTAACGGTTAAAAAATGTTGTTCTTTCATTGTTGTCAACAATTGGAGTATAACAATATAGCAACATAGGACTTGCAACAGGTAGCTTCATCTGTCTTCGATGTGGTCATGTTCGCAGCATAAGCACAAGTTAGGTGTGGCAAGTGTAAAGTTGTGAAACAACTAGCTTATCATGTGTCCACTAAACATCCGATTGTTATCGATCGAACCCACATTTTGCAAAAAAATACGAAAAAAAAATCGCAAATATCGGCATATATCTGAATCAGATGAAATTAACAAGGATTTTTCAAAATGTAACATGAATAGTTTTCGCTTGTATTATGGAGTAGCCTATAGTGACAAACACAAGTCAATAAGGTCAGATTGATAAGGCCTGATTGATCATTAAGAGCTGTTTTTTTGATTTATTGTAAAGAGTACTTTGTCTAACACCTGCAAAACCCGCGTTTTACATAGTTACAACCAATGTATGCTTTCAGCTATTTCACGTAGACCAATTAAGCATCTGGGCTTTCCTATGCGGAAGCCACCACCCACCGTTCCCTCTCCAGTTCCTTCTATGTGATTCATTTCGAACCGTACGGATCTTCGTTTAGTCTATATCGTGTAAACTTCTGATAGGGAGTGTCAGATCCCACCGGGACAGTCTGTGGTATCCGGTTCCACAAAGTCCTTAATGAGTACTATTTGCCTATAAAGCATTTTTTTCTATCAACACAAATATATGTCAGTATATAGTATAGTTCGGTATATAAAAATAGTTGAGTAAAAATATTTGTAATTTAATAACAAATATTTTGCCACCATAAAGTAGCTTCTAGAACGCAGAGTCAAAACGATCCAAATCTACAAGCAAACTATGCTTTACGTTCTTCAAGATTGGTCCATTATTAGAGTTTGTTGACATTAAAAAAAAAATGTAATATTACACTTGCTGATTTTTTTTTATAATCATACATTATGAAAAGAAGTGGCAGTCGACAACACCCAGTACCGCAACTTTATTTCATCGAAAAAGACCCGCCTAGATTGATATGTATGGATATATTTATACTACGTATCCTTCAGCCTTAAATCCATATGTTAAGAATAATAAAATAAAAGTAATTCTAACCCATAATTAAAAGCTTTTAATGTTACTTGTTTAGTTTAAAAGTTTTGGTACTATGAACTAATGCGGTTATAAACAGAACGACTTGAGAAATTCTTTTAATTACCATACATATGGCCTACAGGAACTAACCGACATTTCTGTACGCAACGCCTTGCTATTTAATTTAGTCTTATTTTAGGCTATTATGTTTGGCTCACTAAGTACTCTGTAAGCGGCAGATCTTTTGGGAGACGTATATACAGTTCGTTGGATAAATGACATTTAAGAAAAACTACATCTTAAGTAATCAAAAAAACAAGTCTTCTAAGACGAAGCTGTTATACTTACTGGTTAAAACGGAGAGTAAAAACAAGTATTCAGTGTACGAAATGATTCCTGTGTCATTCAGCTCTCGGAACAACTTGGTACTGCCCTTTTTTTTCGACGGGGTTACATCTGTCATCTTATCTAAGTCTTTCCGACTTAGCTTACGCCGGCTGATACGAGCTGTAAACAGAAACGATAAGACAGAACTATCTTAATCCATATGCGCAGTTCTCTGTTTATTGTTGCCTAATATAGTAATAATACCTAAACTGATTCTAAAGACTTGTTTACACAAGCCGAAGCGTTGAAAAAATTAAGCAGAATCAAATTTTACTAATAAAGCATACAAGAGTGTAAACCAGTTGGCTACATACAAGCTGATGATTCCAAGCATGAGATAAACAAAATTTTACCTCATGTATATGCCTTAGTTTGTAAGTAGCTAAAAAAAAGAAGTGACTGTCTTTTTTCAGATCAATAAAAGAATGATGAAACAGACTTCGATTTAAAAGGATTTAATGTAACTATGATTTAGATTAGGTTAAGCACACTAAAAGTCAAATTTATTCCTGTTAAAACAAGCTGACGGAATAATGAAAATAAGTAACGAATTAGGATAAAAGAATCAATTATGGTGTATTCTCTAAATTATGTCAGGCTCCTTGCAACATCAACGAACACAATGAGTTAAATCGAAGGCGAGGCAGGTGCGCAACAAAGCTCGCTGGTTGGACTCAATAGTGCCTAAAAATCCTGCGCTTGCAAAACAAGTAAGTACCGTCGCGCCGGAGGCGTAACGACCACATTGCGCAGATTCATTATTAGACGTATCTGCGACGGTACAGTGAAGAACGTACTTGCTTACAAGACTTAGGGACACGTAACAGCATTGAATTGAACCCACATACCTTGTTTCGTGCCGAAAACCAGCAGTGAGAAGTAATGTCAAACCTCGTAAGTAATAAACGTCAAACACGAAAAGCGTTTTTTAGATTTATGAATAGACGTTTCACTGAGCAGCCGAAGAAGTACCGTAAATATATAGAAATATAGAAAGTACACAGGTAATGTTTTTGCTGGCGGTGTATAACATCACCTGGTAATCCATTAAATCATTTACACTTCAGTAGTGTGCTTGGTAGGAACGGGTAGTTCAAATCGAGAAGCATCCACTCCAAAAAAAAATTATAAACAAATTATGTGCATTGTAGAAAGTTTGACAGATTTGATTAGTATTAAAGCGACAGTCGACAGCCGCTCAGTAAAACTAACTACCCAGAGGCCAGAGTCCTGCGCCCCACGACTTGTTCTGTTTATCTACAAAATCTGTATCATCTGAATCACACCGGCATTGTGTAGTATCAGGCTCTCTTCGTCTCATACTTGAAACTAGTTCGAGTTATTACCTTGCTTGGTCGGGAAAAAGATGACCTCAGACACGTTACTAAGTTGGCTAACGATTTGCAATACAAGAAGTTTAATCACCTAATACATCGGCTAAAAGCTAACTAAGTTAAAAAAAAGTAACTTCGACTCTAAACACACAAAGGCAAACACAGCTATTACATGTTACACATTATTTTTTTTATTGTCGCATGTCCTGTATCTACTTTAAGGTGCTTACGCACAAAATATCTTCGGCGTAGATTTCTGTCTCAACAAAACTAACTCACAAATGGTTCTTTTCCACTAACGATATCGTTTTTTTATAACTTATAATTAATTAATAATATTATTACTCCCTTACAATTAGAGCCTTCGTTGGCAAACTTCTCAATGTTTATCATTTAAAGTTCGCTATCCAAGTTAGAATTCAGGCACTTCTGATTCCCAGATAATCATCTTACTTATATCTTAGACTATCGTGCAAGTTCAATAAGTCATCAAATCCTAACTTTGCATATCCAAAGTATGGACCAACACTTGATAAAGATGTAGTTTAACAGTACGTATGTATAGGAACTTTTGAAGCAAAAGTTAAATAAAAAATAACGCTTGGACAAAGACAGTGAGGTAGCAAGGCGCACTACAGTGTTCTCTTATGGCTTGCAGAGTTCGGGACTATTAATCTGCGTGTAGCTTTGCTCCAAGGCTAATTCTCCTGCAAAAACAGATCTCAAGTTGTTGACTAACGACCATCTGTGCTGTACTACTGCATTTTTGTCGTATTTAAAACGTATGTCTAGCATGTCAGGGTGCTGTCATTCAGCGGATAGCACAATCGAGCTCTCATCAGTTGACAAGTTCGTCACAATACATAACATAAAGTAATTATAGGCATTTAATCGTATCTTTCCTTAACGATTCGTCTGTGATCTACAGGAGATACCAGAACTATAAACCGACGCGAATATACAAAAAAATTGCAAATAAAGCTCGATTTCTGACCAGTAGAGCGATGAAGATACGAGATAGGGTCTTACATGGTAAGACCAGTGCCAGAGAACTTTTTTCCAATAACAATTCGCTTGAACTGAACTAAAATTTGCAAAATAATGAATTAACATTACAGTATCAACAGAATAGACCACGAACTGCAAATGTACTACGTATGACATTTTTACGGAAAAAGCCTTTAGCAATGATGCTTCATTTCGTGTAGATAAGAGTACAATTCTTCATTAAATGTCTAATAGAAACTGGAAATATTACACTCACTAAGCAGTAGGGTGGATGTCTTAAAGAGGGATACATATGAAGAATGATACTTACAAACTAGCGCAAATTGTTCTGATAAATGGGTTTCAAGGGATATACTTAGATTTAGGTAATATGCATGATTTTAGATACACGGATTTGATTCGGCGATAGGTATGTGGATGTTAGCCTGCGTACAACACAGCACAAAACTTCATCCATGTTATTCAGGTTAGTCCCGCATATCTAGACGAAGGTATCGTGAGCTCATAGAATATTATGCGAATCCATACAAATATTACAAATATTATAAGTATCGATAATAAAAATCGTAAAAAGCTCTAAAAGGCTTTTTTTGAAGTATCGTGACGTTTAGTTGTGTTGAAGAATAAAAACAGCCTCAAATATAAACGCGTTGATTCCGACTAGTTGTAAACGACTTAATGAGATTGCAGCTGTAATCCCTGATCAAATTTTTCATATTTGCTCCGCTAGGGCTTACGGAATAAGTCTGAATAAAATAAGTGATGCTAGAGAATGTCGGTTCGAATAAACCTTTCCTACGATAGTGTCTAAATTGTCTTGAATTAGATGTTGCCTCTAGGCCTCTAGGCATTACTTCCTTTGCGGCACAAATCTAAGTGTGTCTGTTTGCGCCCAGTTTTGAAGCCTAAACCACCTCAGCTTGTGTCCCGAAGTATAGTTGGTAAATGCTTTAACATCGTGCTACGAAGGCACCACGATCTTGTTTACAGAGGATGAGATAGCTATCGGTGGCCACTTCTTTTGCAATTTTTTATGAACATATATGAAAAAGAACCACTTCATATTTCTTTGGCACATTGGGCAATTTTTTTTTCGATGCACAAATTAGCAAAAGCTACTACAGGAGTAGACAATTTAATCACGATTTCCTTTACAGTAGTATTGCATCATTAATAGATGGCGTGAAGTCACAGAAGAACCCAGCCCCGTAGTTGCTTTGCCTGTCGTTTTTACATTTACAGGCTCCCACTACAACTGCCTTATTGAAGTGATTCTATTTTGCGATGCAATCGACGTGTCCCTTGTCTTAATTATTTTTTTATTCTGGTATACTTATATCTCATATATTTCTAGTGATTAGTTATATCCAACACAACTCAAAAATCTAATAGAATTACCCAGCTGTACTAATCCCGTTACTTACTGTGGTAATTTCATTTTTTTATTGAAAGCTTCGAGTAGTCTCGTTTCCTTCTTGTAAGGGTCGCAATTCTCACATTGCATGTAATCCGTTCTTATATTTCCCGTATCTTGTGACTCGAGAAAGTAGTGATCTCCAACATTCTTTGGTACATACTAAATTAGATATTACTTCCTCAAAATCAACAAGGAACTACCACGGTGTAAACAATACTTAATTAGTCAGCAAATCAAAGGCGCGGGAGACCTTAATATGAGACTCCATTAGCCCATGAAAAGCAGTGAGAAAAAATTTTTTTTCAGCTTTTTTTAGAGAAACAGGTAAACAGGTACATATACACTTACAGATAAAGAGGTTTAATAAGATATAGATGTTGCAGTGAACAAATATGTCATCATTATCACCGGCGAGTATCCAGACACGTATATAAAATATATCGCCGCGTACTTCGCACGAATCTGCAGTAAATATATGGTATATAAGAATGTTCCATATGTTGACTGTACACCTAAGGTATACGCAATTTTAATCCCTTACGAAATTTCTTCAGCGATTCTTATCTACAATGCTTAAATAACATGCGAGAATAACGACGCAGTGAATCCTTTGTCCACTTCCGTTAGTAAAAGTATACGTTATATAAATTAAAAACTATTCGTTCCAAATTTATTTAGAGTACTAATATATTAAAGTCATATAACTGAGCAACGTTTAAAATTTATAGTATCAAGTAACGTAAACAACAACCAGTGAAATAGCATGCCTAATATTTTCTTGCAACAATATAATTCAGTCCGCTCTAAATGTTCCGAATCTAACCAAAGAGCCAAGTTCAAAAGGTTTAGGGTAACGAGAAACTTTCCCCATCAATTTAGACCAGGAAGGTTGATACGGTTCAGACAACTTCTTTTGGGTCGGAAAAAACAAAAGTCGTATGTCAAAAAAAACGCATGTGTCATGCAAACAAGGTAAGCTGCAGACAGCTCCTTCACAAACTGAAATTTAAGTTTGTTGATTATTGTGAACTGATTAGGTTCATTAGCTATCACAAATTAGAACCTAGCTGTCACTGTATAAACTTGTGAGTGACGATAGATTTTTAAGGATAGTAGGGAAGCTTACAGGAAGAACCGAAAAAGTGGGATGAGACGGAAAAGAAGCTCGCAGAAGTATAAGCATACAAGTGGTTGACATTCTGCAGTAATGTCAATGACAAACAAAAGGGGTGTCTAAATAATTTAGGGCTCACTTTTTTTGGACTATAAGTAAAGTGGCATTCGTGGCTGTGGTGATGAAAAGAGCTGGAGAATGGGGTGGGGCTCGAGAAAAAACTTTCTTATCTTCTTTGTTTCCTGGA